TTCGCTCTCGCGTCTGTCCTTCCTGCCACAGGCGCCCTTTCTTCGACGGGCCTGCCTTCGAGCGCTGACCTCTGGCCCTAATTCCGCCCTCTCGCCTCGCGCGCCCGCGCCCGCGCCCGCTCCCGCTCCCGCTCCCCGACGCTTCCTGTTTCCCACTCCGGGACCCGGTCCCCGCCTTGAGTCTCCCTGCTCCCCTCCCCGTTCACCACGAACCTCCCCCAGCGGCTCGTTTCCTCCCAGCTCCATGTCTCCCCTCCAGATCTCCATTTCCGCTCTACTGCCTTCTTCGATTCCCCACCTCCAGGCCCCCTATTCCACTCCGCCGTTCCAACGCTTGCTCCTGCTCCTTCAGGCCTAGCTGCGACTGCGCGTCACCGGCCCCTGTTCTCGGCCTCTACTCTCGGCATTACCCCCGCAAAATCTCCGACATCTATAGCACTTGCGTCGGTCCAAGCTGATATTCCCCGCATCTTCCGCACTAGTCATCATTCTCTGAATTTTTATTACTTCTGCTTAGTTTCTTTTAATTCCCGCGTTTGCCCCATTTTCTGTCCTCTTTTAACTGTTCTTTCCGATGCCGCCACTCCTTGCAGGCATGCGCCTTTCTCAGCTCTAGCCTTTCATTTCGGCATCTCCCCCCACCCTCACCCTCACCCTCGCAGTCGCCCGCCCGCCAGCCGCCCTTCCACGACTCTTCCTTCCGACCTCTCCCTGTCCCCCGCCGCCCGCACCCCATGCAGAATATCGACTCTTGCGCGAAAATGCGGACGAAATGTCGAGGCGAGCTGGTGCACAACAGCACCGGCCGTTTTTTAAGTACCGGATGCAGCGGGCGGTGGGGTGGCAGGGTGGCCTTGTCTCCGCGCACAAGGCTTCCCTTGATAGCCGCGGGTGCCTCCTGAATAGCCGGCTGAATCGGCCGCTGTCCCTCGTTTCCGAACGCGGGCCGACGGCCGCCCGCTCCGTAAATAGCTCAGCCCGGCCTCCTGGGCGCCGAATTGTGGACGGGCAATGCCTGCTGAAACGACGGCTCAATAACTGAACCCCTTGTTTGCATTTCGCTACAGGATGTTCGCTGTTGTTTATAACCTCGCATTTGAATCCGCACGCGCTGACACGAAATTGCAAAATGCGGCGCCGCGCAGATAAGACGGCTTTAGGGTTCAGCAGGGATGTAAACCAGCGCTTTTGGAAAATAGAGGAGAACACCGTTTTCATAGACTGCACGCGAGTTCGAAACTCGATCCTGGTGATTCGCGTGCAACGCGCTCTCGTAAACACAACACACACAATGAGAAGGCGTTGACACTGTGATGAGGACAGAGCGTAAGTCCGTTGGAAACTTCAAGTGGATTCCTAGCGATTGTAACAGCTAGATAACGATTCCACTCGCAATCTGGACATCCTTGCCTTATTTCTTTTCTACCATTTCTCCACACTCACAAACGGACTGAAAATGGAGGTTCTGAAATCTCATTTAGAACTGCATAAACCAGCAAATATACCTAATGTGTATTTAGCGCAACCTAAATAGCAAGTGCCCAACAGAAGTGGCCAAGTGAGAGAAGAAACCGTTTTATTTAGCTCTCTAGATTGCCTACCCTTAACTTTTGTATTATATGATACATGCGCCAATAAGCGTGAATGAAAATCATTCCGTCATATTTCTCCCCATTTTGTTACGATTTACGTGTTTTGGCCCATACGTTTGCAACACAATCGGCCGTTTACAACACAATCGTTTTCGTAATACGTTTTTCCAATGTATTCTATATTCTGTGAACATTTGATCCGTGCCAATATGACCGTTATTGTATTATGCAGCGTCGAAGAAAATTATATAAAAAGATCGTTGCACAAAATTATCATTATTCAATATTATAATGACTATTATAAATTGATCTGGATTTAACATGCCTTCTATTAAAATTCCAAAAATTGATCATTTCAAAGAACGATTTAAAAATTGGTAGCGTAAGAAAGACAATAAAAATAAATATCATTTTCAAAATTTACAAGAATCAAACCACCGTAATTAAAAATGAAATTTACCAACTAAGATGATCACTCCTCCACTTCACAACCATATGACTACTGGTGTTCATAAATGGAAAAGAAAACCGTACACTTACGTCTTCTGTCTTGGATTTTCAAGTTTGTGGTAGCACGTGGCGCTATGAAGTGAGGAACTCCCCAACCAGTATTAGCAGCCCCGACTACAGATGCACATTTTTGTAAATGTTGCGTACATTTACATTGAGAGAACTGTCTAGAGTATTTCAAAATTTTTATTACTTTGTTCTTTTAGTACAATTTTAAACGGGAAGTTTATTAACAGTGACTAATAAGAGAAAATCTCTACCTATCTATTACTTAATGAATTAATCGAAATTTTACAATGAAAATATTTAAGCACTTATTCCCATCCCTTGTTTGCAATTGATTGCTTGTTTCTGCTCGATGATCGATGAGCAGAGCTCGATTTTTGTAAGTTTGAAAATGACCTTTATCATTATCATCCGTCGGCAACATTTTTTTCTAATTTTGCCCGCTTCAATTATCGTTGCTTTGGAATTTCAGTGAAACAAAAGTTTGATTCAGATGAATAAATGGGGAAAAATCACTCATTCTGACATTTAATATTGATGTTTGTTCGTATGTTCTTCCTGTTAAGACCATGGATTACTGTGGTTACGACTCTTCTTCACGGCCACCCCGCTCAGACTCTAACTCCACGAAACATTATCGACGTCGGGAAGGCCACTTTCCCAAATGCGGACTGTTGCAAATGCTACTAGAGGAAAATTTCGTTTACTTAAAAATCACATGTCAGAAAGTCCAATTTTATACTCAAATTACTCTCAAAATACCTACATATGGTCCATCACTTTAATCCTCTTTTCCTGCTGGTAAGGGAAATATATAGTTCCATTTAAAAATCGAAGAGGATTCAATTTCTCAAAAATTAAAAACAAAAATATTATAGATCTTTCTTTAGCCCCATGATTCCACATTGTTAAGCGAAAACTGCCTTTCGATATAGTGGTTTGAAGTATTGGTGGCAGTTAATAGTTAGTGGAACATCCTGTATAGAGAATGCACCATCTAAGTTGGCGACAGCAAATATCTTCAAAACTGTTTGAGGTATCGAGATGCTGTTTGCGCCATGTTGTTGCAGATGATGGGACAGATAACATATTTCGTTTTCTTGTTAGTACCGTGTGTAACTTTAGAGATATTGACACTATTTTTTAGTGTATATATAAATATAAATATATAAATATACATAAATATACATAAATATATATATATAAATATATATAAATATATATAAATATATATAAATATATATTTATATATATAAATATATATAAATATATATAAATATATATATAAATATATATAAATATATAAATACATAAATATACAAATATATTTCTCCAGCATTCAAAAGATTTTTTA